CAATTTTGTGTGATTTTCTCAAGTCTTTAAGGCTAAACTGTCACCTCCCAATTGAATTTTTTGTCTACATTGCAAAGAGGATTATATGGTTGACTACTCAAATGCTTTATTGATGCAAACCCTAAAACAACTCCTGCCACTGATGAGAACTATTCCTCTTGGGCGAGGCCAAAATAAACTCTTCTATCAAATTCATTATCTACATGACAACAAGGTCAACAGTTGAATTTCCTCACAAATCCATCAACCCTCCAATATCCAAATAAATTCCACTATCAACATGTTAATTCCACAATAATGTGGATAAACTTAGAGGTCATTTGAGATTATTTTTTTATATTTTATTTTGTATATATTTTTATTTCACTTGAGCTTAATTTTAGGAGTTTACGGTGGCTCACGAGCCTAGTTGTTTATTATGAAAGATAGAATATAATATTAATTCAAGCTAATCATACAATAAAATGACAAATAGAATGACCAATTTGAAGATAAAAAATAAAAAGAAAATATATGATATAAAAGATAAATTATGAATTTTAATATATTTTGAGTATATTTTGTGTTATTATTATTATTTAAGAAGCCAGCTCACGAATCAGCTTGGCTCATCCTATTACATGTATCTCGAAAGGATGAACTCTCCAATTGATTGCGACTTAGCATCAAAACTTGACCCCATATTTCTAGCTAGTTGTAATGTTGGCATCCTAGCTCTATCAAATATACCAACAACTCTTTTAAACCTGGTCGAGAGATTCGCTATGGCTTTTAAAGGACAAGCAAAAACATAATATTAAGTGTTATTGAGATGAGAATGATTAGGTGGATGAGTGGCTTGACACTTAGAGATGAAATGTGAAATGAATTTATTCGTGAAGTGGTTGATATAACTCCAATGAAGGAGAAGATTAGATAGAGTCGTCTTAGATAATTTGGTCACATTAAATATCGACCATACGATGATTCAGTTAGGAGAGTAGGTATTTTAGATTCAACTTATGTTAAGAAAGATAGAGGTTGACCTAAAAAAACTTGGGCATATTGTATAAAGAAATGTTCTTAATATATTAGAATTAATTGAAAATATCACTTAATAGGAAATAATCGAGAAAATGGATTTATTTTGTCGACCCCACTTAGTGGGATAAAGGCTTCTTGTTATTTTACCCACAATCATTGTAACATTTTCTAACTACTATCACTTAATCATTTTCATTTAACCGCCATCATCCGATTGTCATTATATGATCACCATCATCTAACCATCGTTATCTGATTATCATTGTCTGATCACCATTGTCTGATGACTATTGTCCGACTATCATTATCCAACCATTGCCGTTTATTTATCATCATTTTCATCCAACTGGTACAATCATTTTTGCATCCACTGTTTTCATTATAATCACCAGAGAGAGCTATTGTTGAGTGCATTAATTATTAATCCTGACATTTTCAATTAAAATGAAAAATGAACTCTTATAATTTCAACCACATAGTAGATTATTTCTTTTGAGTCAAGGAGATGATTCTTTCTTTCTTTCTTTCTTTTTTTTTACTTGGAAATTTTGGTATCTCTTAAATTTCTTTTCTCTATTTGTATGTCTTATATTTATACAAATCTAGGTCATGAAACTTACATTGTACCACAGGGAACTTTCTTGCATGCAAAAGATCAATTTAAAATTTGAATTTAGCTCGCAAATGAACTAATGTTGTATTAAATAAACAACTCAAGTTTTTATGTAAGTGAAGATGTGATGTGATATGCTTTATAATTGATTGCTAATCTTAGTAGTGATCAAAACTCATATGCTTCCAATTGCTTTCATCCAACTCTTTGTTATAATTGAATTTGATTGGAAGCACACTCTTTTGTTAGCTCGAGTTTATTAAGATTCTCTTCTCAGTTCTTACCTTAACTTTATATCGTCTTTTTTTATAAAAAGACACGTAGTTGCTAACAAATATCCTAGTCATCAACTCCAAATCAGAGTCATAGCTCAAGATTGAATTGTTTTCTTGTGCATCAAAACTTTCATCACCATACTCATTTATGAAAACTTTTCTAGTATTAATTCATTTATTTTTATTTTATTATTATTTTTTTTTTTGTGAAATTTACTATTGTGATTTGCTACCATATGAAACCTTTGAAGCATGAAAACCAAATTGTTGCTAGATGGAGAGAGATTTTGCAGCGTTTTTTCTAATTTCCTCCTTAAAGAGAAAATTTTGACCCTCCTTAAACTCATAGGTCTGTCAACACCATTTCAAGGCCCACAGGGCCCAAACTTATTTTTACATACGTAGCATCTGAAATATTGCTATTTAAGAAATCTAGCATCCATGTATAGGTGTGTAAATGAACCGAATACGAGCGAGCTCAGGCTCAGCTCGTGTTTGGATCATTAAAAAATATCATTATTCACATTCGATTCATTTATATTTCTATCAAAAAATATATATAT